GTTTGGGCACCCGGGCAGTATCACAGCTCACACACAAATGATGAACTGTTTATGTCTATGGAAACTACTTTTGTCGCTTTGAAAAACAATCAATTGATTCAAATTATGATCACTTCAATTATTGTCATTATTAATACTAATATTATTATTACTACTATTATTGTCATTATTGTTATTATTATCATTATTATTATTATTTTCCACATTATTCACCTTCTTTTATACTTATACAGCGGCTCGTCTTTGGTGGAATTCCGACTGTATCTAAACGTTCTCGAGTCACTGTCCGGTTGAAAATTGTATGTTACCACCGAATACGAGGACTGAAGCAGATTTCCTGAAACCACGTGCACCATTCAAACTGGCTGCCTTCAACGTTCGCACATTTATGCAGGTCGGACAACAGATAGGGCTGGCTATGTCTTTGGAAAGTCTTAATATCGACGTGTGTTGTCTATCCGAGACCCGTATTCAAGACTCTGGCGAAGTACTACAAATTCGATCTCCATCTGTCGCTTCGAAAAGCTTGTTTTACGTGCGCTTATCCGGGGACCCTGTGGCATCTTCGTCTGGTTTTGCTGGCGTTGGTGTCGCACTAAGCGCTAGAGCTGAGGCAGCACTAGTCGATTGGATCCCCATTAACAGTCGGTTATGTGCTGTTAGATTAGAAAGTTCCATCAAAGTGAGAAGAAATCGGCGTGAGAAACGATGTCTTTTCGTCATCTCCGCCTATGCCCCGACAGATTGCAGCCCGGATGCAATCAAGGATGAGTTTTACCACCAGTTATCAGTTCTTCTCCAGAAAGTGCGTTCGACAGATATTGTAGTACTAGCCGGAGACTTGAATGCTCAGGTCGGGTGTCTAGGCACAGAAGAGAGTCGTTTAGGTGGCCGATGGGGACTCGTTGGTCGCAGGTCAGATAACGGGGACCGTCTACTGCAACTTTGCGCAGACCACAACCTGTTTCTGGCTAGCACTAACTTTCGGCACAGTCATCGCCGATGTGCCACCTGGCGTCCTCCCTCTGCATCTCAAGCCTGGACTCAGATTGATCACATCGCGATCAGCTACCGCTGGCGTGGTTGTGTACAAGACTGCCGCTCCTTTTGGAGTACCTATCTGGACTCTGACCATGCCTTGGTCTGCGCCAATCTTGCCTTACTTTTCAGTGGACAACGAAGTGAACGCCATCAACGGATTGATGTTAGCAAGCTGGTTGCAACTTCTGTTGCAAGTAAGTATCGAACCGAGCTAGCCTCTAGGCTAGCTACCACTCCACCGAAAAGTATAGATGAGCATTGGTTGCAATTGCATGACGCCATGAAAATGGCGGGAACAGTCAGTTGTGGGTTTGCGAAACGTCCCGCTTTTAAGCACTGGGTTTCTTCTGGTTCCTTACAACTCATTGAAGCCCGTCGGTCTACTCCGGGTAACCGTGAGTTTGACCATAAACGAAGGATGTTACGTAAGGAAATCGGGCAAAGCTTGCGTAAGGACCGAGAAGCCTGGTGGTCGATGCGTGCTAATGAGCTGGAAGCAGCAGCTGCATCTGGTAACTACCGGAAGCTCTTCCAACTCATCCGAGCCACTGGCAGCAAGACGTCTGGTGTGAGTGAAACAATCTGCGAGGATGATGGGATGCCAATCACTAACATCCATCGACGTCTTGGACGATGGGCAGAATTTTTCGAAGGGCAGTTCAACTGGCCTGCTGCTCCGGCAACATCGGTCAGACTGGCCTGCCCTCCATGGCCGGTGACGACTGATCCACCAAATGAGGAGGAAGTCCGCAAGGAACTCCAACTCTTGAAGCGTTACAAATCACCTGGCCCAGATGACTTACCTCCGGCTCTTTTTAAAGATGGTGGTGACTTTTTGACTAAGGAATTGACGACGTTGTTTACAAAGGTTTGGGATCTAGAGAGTGTACCAACGTCATGGAATGAGTCGATAGTTGTCCCTATCTTTAAAAAGGGTTCACGTCGTTCTTGTAACAACTATCGGGGGATAAGTTTACTTCCGATTGCGTCCAAGCTATTGGCTTCCGTCATTCTTCGTAGGTTGTTCAAAACCCGAGAAAGATTGACTCGCGAGGAGCAGGCTGGGTTTCGTTCTGGTCGAGGATGTATTGATCATATCTTCACCCTCCGCCAAATGTTAGAACACCGCCATACTTTTCAAAGGCCAACAATCGTAGTGTTTCTTGACATCAGGGCTGCCTTCGATTCGTTGGATAGGACTGTTCTCTGGGATTGTCTATTGAAGAAGGGTGTGCCTGAGAAGTTTATTAACATCCTAAAAGCCCTGTATAAAAACACCTCAGGCAGAGTGAGGGCATACAACCACCTCTCTCCATTGTTCCATTCGAGCAGTGGGGTTAGGCAGGGTTGCCCAATCTCACCATTCCTCTTCAACTTTGCCATCGATGACATTCTGGAAACAGCTCTAATGGATGTAAGTAATGGTGGTGTGGATCTGTTGCCTGGAGAAAGACTTCTCGACCTTGAGTATGCGGACGATATTGTCTTACTGTGTGATAATGCCCAAACCATGCAATCCACACTTAATCAGTTGGCAATCAATGTCCGTAGGTATGGTATGTGCTTTGCACCTTCGAAGTGCAAAGTACTTCTACAAGACTGGCAGGATTCTAATCCTGTACTCACCCTGGATGGTGAGCAGATAGACGTAGTTGAGAAGTTCGTGTATCTGGGTAGCTGCATAAGTGCTGGTGGGGGTGTGAGTGATGAGATCAATGCACGAATAGTGAAAGCCAGAGCGGCTTATGCCAATCTGGGCCACCTTTGGCGCCTTCGTGATGTTAGTCTGGCTGTAAAAGGCCGGATCTACAACGCGTCGGTGAGAGCAGTTTTGCTCTATGCTTGTGAAACCTGGCCTCTCCGAGTTGAGGACGTTAGACGACTCTCTGTGTTCGATCATCGCTGTCTCCGAAGGATTGCTGACATTCAGTGGCAACACCATGTCAGTAATGCAGAGGTTCGGCATCGTGTGTTCGGGCACAGAGATGATAACTCAATTGGTGTCACCATCTTGAAACACCGACTTCGGTGGCTTGGACATGTTCTCCGAATGTCGTCCCAGAGAATTCCACGTCGTGCATTATTTGCCGACTCTGGGACTGGTTGGAAGAAGCGGAGAGGTGGTCAGTGCATGACATGGTGTCGTGGCATGAAAGAAAGCTGCAAAGGACTGGCTTGTGTTGGTCCTTCACGACTCCCTGGTTGGGGTCCGAGAGATGGTGCAACACAGTGGCTAGAGACGTTATCAGATATGGCTCAGAATAGAAGCCAGTGGCGATCCTGCTGTAACCTTCTTTTACTTTCTTCATAAAAAGTGGTTGTGTCTCCTTTACCTGAAAGATTTCTTCTGATTGTACCTCTTCGTCATTACTCTCTTTTTCTTTTGCGTTCCTTAGTTTTTTTTTCTTTTCTTTCTCCTTCTCTTCGAATTCCCATTGTTTTGTGTGGCGCATATATATTGGCGCTCTCTTGTACCAATATTTATGTGTTCAAATAAATAAAATAAAATAAAATAATAAAACTCTTAAGCAGACTAAATTTTGATAGACTTTCTTACAAACTGTAAATATGGGGAACGGTAGCATTGACTCGTCTAATACTAATACTTCAACGTTGTTTACCACCATTTCTAACTCAGTATACTGTTGTTACGTATTTTCTTATTTAAGTAATGATAGTTTGGACGACTAACCTTATTAGGGTAATCCTCATACCGATCACTATGTGAAATAAAGCATTGCACAAACAACTCTTCCCTGCAGGTTAACTGGCTTCATTATATGACACCACTTAAAAGTAGATCAACACCTTTCTAACGCCACTTCCATACCCACTTACCAATTTCAACATAAGTTTGGTGGCATTTATACAAAAAGGACTGAAAAAGTGCCTTAACGTTTTTTTTTCTGAACATGTTCTCGAGAGACTATGCCTGATAAGTAGTAAATTTACACATATATAATTATTAGGCACTTAATAAATAGTGGACACGATGTGAATATCTTCTAAAGCATTCAAAATAATTGACGAACAAACATCAACTATACTCCGCTTTGTAGAGGTTACTACGATCAAACGTTTTAGACCTAATCTATGTGGGCAGATGGAAAGTGTGGCAAGCCTCTCCTTGTACAAGTAAAGAGTTGTACAGGAATACTTCTATTTTTTGCATAATATTATTGATGTTTACGCATTGATTTGGTTTTCGGCTTTATAGAATTACTCATTATCTCCATCATGATTGTATAGTGTCTCATAATTGTTAATTACCTCTACTTCACATTACCAGTCATTTCCGACGTTTTCTTGCCAACATCAACATTGGCCTTATTTAATAGTATACGTTACATCTTTTTCAACCTGCCACAATGTTTGGTCCTGTTTTAAATAATCAACTCAAGTTCGCTAATTACAGCATATCAAATCTGTTTTGAATCATTTACTGACTGATCAGTTTTAATAGATGAATTTGTCCACCATCAGGACGGAAGATCCACTTGGTGCATAAAATGGCATAATTCAGATCCAGGTCGGCGGTTAAAAATGAACGAGCGTTATACATAGACGGGATCAGTGGTAAAATGACTACATATAACAGTAAAATTGGTTGATTACATTTTTCCACATAAGTCTATGTCTCTTGACCAGATAAATGGTTTATTTTGCATTAATTTAAGGTTTTTTTGTAAACCTAATTAATGAACTTTTAAAACTGATCGTAGAGGCTTATGAACGAAACTTGCCTGAACGCCAAATATAATCATGTCACCAGCTGAGTATTGGTAACATGAATCCGAGCAACGAAAAATGAGGCTCTGGGATTAAATAAGCTTTTAACATGTATATTTGTGGAAAGTTACAAATATTTACATTATGATTAAGCAGTAGCAACCAGGTCAAACATATAGTGTATTCAAAATGATTTGTAATTATAAGAACAAAATACAATAAACAAATACCCGGAAATGTAGATTTATGTTTGAATTTTAAGAGATTCACTCCATGATGCACATATTTGTGTGAACGAGTGTTTCATTTAACGGTTTTATTATTGCACGGATCGAAAACCAAGTCAAAAATAATAACTGAGAGTTGTAATGTAGGCATCATGGATGATCAGTCCAGATAAGAAAATCATATTCTAAGTTTAGATACATAAGATACTTAGAACAGAAGTAGACACTTTCAAGTTACTTTTTTCTTAAGTGCACTTTGAACATGGTTGGTTCCAACATCATCTTCTCCATCATTGACTTCATAAACTCGATGAGGCTCTCCTGGCTTCAAAAGTCGCCCAACATGATCATAACGCTCTGTAGTACAAGACAAAAGTTTTATCTAGTCTTAGTGAAACAAAAGGGTTTTTGAATATTGTATGCCTACTCTTCGGCACGCAGTATACACAAACGACAATTTTGAGGTGTGATTTCTACTTACCTAACAGCTATGTCAATCCAAAAAATAACTACCATGGATGTAATATAAAGCTAGCTTGGTTTGAGTAAACAACTACTAGATCTTATCAACTCAAGTACACCAAATCATTATCCTGAATCTATTCTTCCTTGTGAAGCTATGTTCGCTAATATGTTTATTAATAATGACAATAAAACTCTAAATTCAAACAATGCAGTTTATATGATAGATGTGCAGTAATGCTGATATGAATTTCATCAGCGTCAGATGCGTCATGCTGACGAATGTCAGTTATTTCTGGACTTACAATAAGGATTTCTTATTGGTTTGACATAATCACATAACACAAAACAATCAATATATTCACTTACGGAGTAGTGGCCTGCTGCTAAGAAATATTATATATATATATATATATATATATATATATATATATATATATATATATATATATATATATATATATAATTCAACATTATGCCCACGCCAATTATAGTAATGACGATGATAAAGATCGGTTCTACAGAAGGCTGCAATCGATCGCGAAGAAACACACAGCAAAGAACCTGAACATTCTGATGAGAGACTTAAATGTTAAAGTCGGAATGGACGACACCAGGTATGAAGATATCATGAGACGACATGGACTAAATAGGAGAAACGGACAAGAATGGTGAGAAACTTGCAAATCTATGTGCATTCACCAAATTGGTTATAGGTAGTACAACATTCCCACACAGACACATGCACAAAGCTACATGGATCTCACTCGACCACACTACAGAGAATTAGATCGGGGTGACTAAAACACTTCAGAAAGACAATGGAAGACGTGAGAACCAGGAGAGAAGTTGACATAGCTTCAGATCACCACCTGGCTGTGGTTAAGATGGAATTGAAGCTAAAGAAGCACCGGACAACTGAATAAGCAGCATTAAAAAGGCTTCATACAGCCTTCCTTCGAGATACAAGCTACAAGATACGAATTCAAGATAACTCTCAGCAATAATTTTCGAGCCTTGGAAGAATTACTCGAAGAATGCGAAACTACTATGGAAGACAATAGGAGAGGGATCAAAGAAGCATTGACTTTAACGTGTCAGGGGGTTCTGGGCCACAACAAGCACCGTCATAAGGAATAGGTCTCTATTGAAACTCTGAGCATCAGGAAAGTATTTTAACAGTGCGTTGCTGAACCACATGAAAGATTTCGGTAGACGTTCAACTTCGAGATCAACAAGCTTGACTCCGTAAGGATCAGTCGTGCACAGACCAAATCACGACACAACAGATCATTGTCGAACAATCAGTTGAACGGGACTCATGACTATACATCAACTGCATTGATTATGAGAAAGTATTTGACAGTGTGAATAGGAGAATGTTATGGAAACTTTCGTCATTATGGTGTACCTGAGAAGATCGTTAACACCACACGGAATTCATACGGCGGACTACACTGCAAAGTCGTGCAGCGAAGACACCTGACAGATGCATTCCAAGTTAGGACTGTTATCAGACATTATCAGGCTGCTTACTCTCATCCTCTTTCTTCTGGTGGTTTACTGGATAATAAGGACCACCACATCCCAGAAGAAACACGGAGTAGAATGGACAGCTTGCATGTAGCTACGCGATTTGGACTTCGCAGATGACATAGCCTTTCTACTCCACACACATCAACAAATGCAGGCCAATACAAACAGTGTAGCAGCAACCAATATCAAAGTCAGAATGTTTAAAGTAAAACTCAAGACAGCTTTACTGTACAGAGCTGGAACTTGGTGAACCACAACTATCATTAAAAAGTAAAGGTATTCGTAAACATTTGTCTAAACAAGACAATCAATGTCCTTTGGTTTAATACCACCAGTAATAGCCTGCTGTGCGAGGGAACAAGCGAGCTTCTAACTGAAGAGGGAATTAGGAAAAGACGGTAGAGGTGGATGGGATATACGTTGCGGAAATCACCAAACTGCATCACAAGGCAAACACTAACTTGGAATCCTGAAAGCTAAAGGAAATTCAGAAGGCCAAGTAACACATTACGCCGGTAATTGGAGGCAGACACCAAAGGAGTGAGTAGCAAATGTGAAGAGTTGCCCAGGACAAAGTTCGATGGAGAATTGTGGTGGGCAGCCTATATTCCATCACGAGGGTTAACTGGCGATAGACTAAATTGGATTGATGTTTGCATACAGCAAATACTGAGACATCTTAACCTTAAATTTGGAAAATTTGACTGCAGAAAAGTGAAGTTGTGTCGCTATTCGACTAGAAATTCAGCAAATAATTAACACACCTTGGTAATAAATTTTTGTGGGACTGGAAGCGAAATACACGAAAGATACAACAGTCTATCTGTTATAAGTTCATATGACTAACAATTGGTTGCCAAACACAGCCAGATATGCAGAGAAATTACATTAATAATTAGATGATACAAAATTGAAGCATAAAAATATCGACAATGTGGTTTGCAAAAATTACAATCTTACCGGAAAACTGCAGTTCCCATTCCCTCAGGGTTTGCATTTGATCAGCAGTAAGATCAGAAAGATCGTCATAGTCATCTTTTGTTACAAGGTTGAAGCACGCAAGTGCTCTTGATGCATCTCTACCGGCAAAAGCAGCATACGGTGCGCCTGAAACAATGTAACGTGGATTGTCAGCTTACCCTTGCCATAAAATCCCTGTCCCTTATTCGTGACATCGAATACCTTACCATTAACTGCGATTAATATTCTCTTATGTTCGCCACTGCCATCGAAGCTCTGAAGTTCTTCTAATGTGAAATCACGTTTCCCCATTTTCGGGACTTCACATTTCTGAGATTTCTTTTTTCTTAGCAGTGGCCTCAGACTTAAATAAACGAGTAAAATGCATATTAGGAACAATGTTATGTTAATAGGGCACTTGACTGCATCTATCACAGCCACAACGTAATCCCTCTGCTTTGGGCCATCCTTCCCCATTGTAGGGACAACTTTTGAAATGTGTTCGTCACTTCAAACTACAAACTTTGTTGTACTGCAACAGTGAAATTATAAAAGGATGTGATTGTCCTTCTGATATTTCAGAATCTCAAAGGAGCCTCAGGGACTGGATTTCACTATTAAGAGACTGTTGAATTAATTTGAAAGAATCAAACGACCCTGATTCAAATATTAGACACGAGCATGATTTGGAAGAGGTTGGAGCATTTATTCACAACACCATACCAGACAAACATATAACAGTTCAGGCGACAAAACTGACGAAAATATGGAACGCCCACCATATAGACTCCTTAAGGTAATCCTAGGATCGGAGAAATAACGAGATTTTTGTTAAATAGGGCTCGAAGACATGATAATACCGATATTCGAGTGGGACCTGATTTGTTACTAAAATATAGAGTAAAAAGGAAGACGGAAACCGCCGAACTAAAATCTCGTTGCGAAATGGTGAAGAAAATCTCCTCTTAGTGGGTCTTCAAGTATCCAGGTTTTGCGAACGAATGTCACCAAAACTTGTTTGGATAGATTGTCCTCCATGAGAGATCTTATATTAATGCTTGTAGTCTTGGAAATAGATTCCAGTGAGCATCAGTGGACAAAACTTGGTTGGTTCATGACTGACGTCAACCATAGAATCATCCGAGTACTGTTACCTAAGAAAAGATAGGAATAGATGCAGGAAATGGAGTGTGGTCCTAATATACAAAGTCAGTAATATGATTATCTAGTCCTTCGTTTGTGGGTCCCATGACAGTAGAATTTTTGGAATAATTAGATGTAAAGACACTTCCGAACTTTGTTCATTTGTACTCGGTGTCATCTATCGTAGCTCAATCTGCACACAAAATCCTGATCCGGTCGATGGTGGTGGGAGTCTGCTCTCCCGCTCTAAATGCTCTCACATGGCCATGCGTATACACTCACTGCCAGGAAAGTTCTACTTACTGCCTTTTCGTGTCAGGGTTATTGTCTACGAAATTGAGAAGACGAGAAGCGAGCGGCCAGCGCTCTAGCCGGGTTGATGGATACGGAGAGTCCACCTGAGAGAGTTAGAAAACGTGGGCTCCAGGATACTGAGGGAGCGAATAACTAATGAACTCATCGTTGCTCACTAACTACCATGGGACTGCATCTTCTAACTTTGCCCTTCGGATTAGACCTCAAGGTCAAAGGCTCGGTGGGTCACCTTCTAAGAAAACCATCTGCGTCGGTTTGGGCGCCTGGGCTCTCTACAGATCAATGATAATTACTACTGCAAATTTATTCTTGCTTCAACTACCGTCCAGACAAATCACATCCAAAATGATGGTCATTTTTATTTCTTCCATAATACGTCACTTATTTCTTTCTCTTTATCCCATTTTGCGCGTCTCATTTCTCGAATTTAACATCAAACCAATCTAAGTTCAAGGTTAGCTACCATCTCACCCAAAAGTATGGATGGGAATCTGTTGCAGTTGCATGACGACGTAAAAATGGCGAGTAAAGTCCCCCGTAGTTTCGCGAAAAGTCTCGCTTATAAGTACTAGTTTTCTTTGGGCTCCCTACATATCGTGAGGCCCGCCGATCTACTCCGGGTGGCCGCGAGTTTGACCATAAACTACAACTGTTACTTAGTGAAACTGGACAAAGAAGCCTGATGGTTGAAGCGTGCCAATGAATTGGAAGCAACAGCTCCATACAGTAACTGCCGCACTTTTCATTCTCTATCTCTCCACAACGTCATCATCATTACATGGCGCACACATATTTGATACCTCCAAGTACAGATGTTTACGTGTTCAAATGAATAAATACATAAACAAGAAAATAAATTTTCTAATTTGATGACTTTGTTTTAGAGCGAAACAAGCTTTGGAGTAAAAATAATAGATGCCCGATATCAGCAGATTTTAATGCACTTGATTTTAGTTGGACTGAGATGGCCACTGTAGGACTTGTAAACTCCTTTGACAGTAGGATCCTGGTAACGGTAATGAAGCATGCTTTAGTATAGCATGGCTGCAATTAAACGCAACTCAATTTCGTAAATGTGCCCTTCAGCTTAGCAACCAATCAGAATTAGGCGGGAATTATTACATCCGCCATCTTCGTAAGCAATGGCGGTCGGCTTTCTTCGTTCTGTGATTCTTTCAGCTATTTCTTTTGTGTAGCTGTGTAATTTAATGTCTCAGTATGCTAAAATGCCGCAGTTAGTGTAATGTTCTATATGTTGGTGTGAAGTTTATTTCGAATCAGCGATGTTTTCTGGGTCTTCGCAGCTTCTACTCAAAGTCAATTTCTCTTTCCTCTTTTATTGTTAACAAACCTAGGTTTCTGCCTGGAGGTTTTGGTGACCCCCTGCTACTAGACACGGAAGCCTGTTAAGCGAAAGCTTCTATTCAGTCCACAACCATTTGAACACATGAACTAGGTGCTGAGAGGCTCGCTTATCACAAGTTTCTTGCAACGATTAAGTAGATAAAACAAAGTAGCATTAGATTCAAAAATTTATTGAAGAACTTTCATTAAGAATCGAATATCAAACAAAGGTTTAAACCAAGTTCCCGTTTAAAAGTTGTATTGTTAATGTTAAGCTGCAGTTTTTGTTGTTTTTTTCCAAACGAAAGAGTAAAAGAAGTCAGAAAATACTGGAAGTGGTTGTGAGACTAAAATGGAAGTCCAGCATCCTTTTTATAACCTTCTATTCGTTGGGTCTCCCGTAATCAGTTCCATAGGGCCATAGTTCCGAGGGCGAAACAGTTTTTAAAGTCTGTGAAGGCTCACTCGTGTTGGATTCTAAATGAAAAAAATAGTGATGAATTTAGTCAGAAACGTGGAATAGATAAATAACCAAATTACATGATTTTTAGCAAAGAATTTATGAAGTTGTGATTTACCTTGAGTTTGTAGTGACTCACGTTTATCACGAGAACACGACTGGTTTAATAAAAACAATTATTATTATAACCAACTGTACCAGTGTTTGTTTTCACGTGCTTTTGTTTGACTGTGCTAATGACAGCTATTTTGTGCTTCCATTCTTGTACTTACACTTCGATTGTAACTTCGCGCGAATTCGGTTACCTTCTGTAACCAAGGTTGTATCCTGGCACGATCTCGGTATCCTTTCGATGCCACGAGATCGCCAGCTAATAAACCTCGACTTGGTCCATTAACTGTCTTCTGGTATTTGGCTTCTCGGGGATTTCATGGATCAATTTGGTTACGTCCACGCCTCATCCTTCTGATCTGATTGGCATGTGTTTCTCTGTTTATAGTTAATCTCAACTCGACGCCACGCTACAAGTTCATGAATATTAGATAAGGTTAGCTACTATTACTTGCGCAAAGCATAACATGGGCTTAGTACCGTATTGCAATGCTTTTATTATTTTGCTCACATTTAAGTATTCCCATGCATTTGTGTCTAGTTTAACAGGAAAACATACAAACAGAGTAAGTGTCTGATAAACTAAAAGTCACAGTTGTCAAAAAGATTCTTAACATTTGTCCACAGCCAGCTGCTGTTTTACGGGCAATCTTGCTACCGATGTTATTGCTGGGGAAATTGTTTAATGACAGTGATCATGAAATATGGTCAGTGATAGATGTAAAGTTTAGAAATAAACACCAAACATACTTATCGCTATCTTATAATGTATGACAGTAACAGCATCAAAGGCACGTTTTTTTCCTATTTTTAATCAGACTGATCTGAATCCGTATACACATTAGAAACAGGCAACTTTACTTACTAAACTGATCTGTTTCGTTACAGGCTTCAAGCACTATACTAAAGTATATCATAATTCTTTCAACTAAACTGAATTATACGACAACCAAGAACAATTGTTCTTAGTTTAAACCGAGCAAGTGTCATAGTTGTTGTTTCACTTGCACAGACATGTTGCTCAAAGTAGTTAAATGGACATAATTAAGCCGATAAAACCAAAACACGAAATATAGGCCAGTTGAACTTACCTATGAAAAAAAGAAGGATACATATATACTGCTTCAAAGCAGTATTCAGCATGAATTCATACTGAAGACAACAGAGAGTTGATCATAGAAATACAGTTTACAGTACAACAAACCTTTCTTCAGTAAAATCATGAACTGACAGTCTATCTGGAAACAATCAACTATGTGAATAAACTCACTATGACTTGAGATATCATCTCAGCGTGCAATGGACGTACAGTGTAACGCCGTCAGACGTGGCGAATAAAAATTAAAAACAGAGAAAAATTAACTACGTAATCTAGTTATTTAATAAAAAATACATTATGAAATGACAAAACCTGTGGTTACTTGAACGCACAAATGACAGTGTGCGATACATTAAGTTTACATGGTTGCGTTGCGGATAAGATCACCCTATAGCACGCATCCGAATTCACACGTTTTGGTTCAAACAAAGAAACTTTTTGTTAGACTTAGTAATCACACATGCTACCAAGAATATCTCCCACCTAAATAGCGAACAGCGGTCATAATGTTTTGTCACTCATGTATAGAGCTTGTGACATAATATGCAACCAGGTTAAATCTCGCCTAAATGTGTGGATAGCAAACATATCAGCCATTCGGTTGTGCGCTGCAACAACAGACTGATCAGTAAATACTATCTCATCAGTTGAATAAGGTACGTTCTGTTTAGTAACTCCTCCGTTTGTGCCATACTTGGTACCACGTAGACCAAATGACCGTCGTCTATGGAAAACTAAACAATTCAAGAAACTTCTTAGATGTAAGCAAAAGCATTAGATTTGTTCATCCGTACAGGCTCAGAACAGTGCAGAAGCTAACTCAGAGAGGTAATGGGATCCCAAAACACTTGTTACATGACAGTCTATTGATGTTGGCAAGAATGATGTTGCAAAAGATGGATATTTATCAAAATATTTTAGCAAAGTGTTTTCGGTTGACGATGTGGAATGACCAAAAATTAGTCGCGACCAGGGCAGCTTGTCGTTCGATCCTAGGGTTAGTGA